AACCAGCACCCCTCCCAGTCTTTGCATCTGAACCCCCAGAACTGTGAGCTGCACAAGCATTTTCTTTTTGCAAGCTAGCTGCCTCTGGTATTTCTTTGTAACCATGTAAAACTGGCAAATGTGGATCCCGCTGTACAACTTCCGAAGTGATTCTGCCTACAAACTTCTACCAGTATCAAATAAAAATTTCATTCATTCCTCATGCTGTTACCAACTGTTGCAATCACAGGTTTCTCATTTTAGCATTCTAATTTATATGTATTGGAGTATTTCTGTGGTTTTAATTTCCTTGCCAGCCAGTGAGACTGATTCTCTGAGAATACCAAGGTCAGGAAAGATGAAGTTGTAGATACAGGTGCAAAACTGAAGTTTCATGGCTTTTTATTTTTCCCTGACACCCCACACATTTTGTTCCTGCAACATCAGGTGGGCTCTAGCAAAGCCACCAACTACATGGTATTCCTTGGCTACAACTGCCTATGTGACCAGCACATGCGCAGTCGCTGCTGTGCCAAGGAGCAGGAGCCTCCTCGCTAAGAGAAGGATCACAAGTCCCATAGGCGCCCGCTGTGCCTCTTAATGTAGACGCCAGTTCAGAACCCTCCACTTCCTGCAGTCCTGGAGGCTGCATGAGGGCGCACCAAGCCACATCCCACCAGGCCCTTTTTTTTTTTGTGGAACCGGGGATTGAACTCAGATCCTTGCGTTTGCCAGTCAAGCGCTTATCCTACTGAGCCATCTCCCCGGCCCCCTCACCAGGCCCTTTTTACAATTTTTTTTTTCAGACAAGGTTTTTTTAAAATATATTTTTATTTATTTATGTGTGTGTGTGGCCAGCTCAGCCCACCAGGGGGCGCGGCTGGCTGGCATGTGGTGCTGGGGGATTGAACCGCGGTCCCTGTGCTTTGCTAAGCTTGTTCTAAGTAGGTGCTTTAGACCACTGAGCCATCTCACCAGCCCTCAGACAAGGTTTTGCAAGTTACCCAGGCTGGCCTGGAACTGGCATCTTCCTGCCTAAGCCTCTGGAATAGCTGGAGTACAGGTCTACGCCACCACATCTCAAGAGTTTAATCCACTTTTCAATCTTCCTTGCCATTTTATGCTGCTTGCAACCCTAAGCACATTTCCTCTCCAATCCTGCAGTTTCTTTAGATAAGATGGGACAAAATAAATAAAAAATAAAAATCTCTCAACTTCAATTTTTTTTCTTTGTATTCTTTATAATATTGTAGCTTCCTCTACGTTCTTGCTTTACCAGGAGCCTTAGAAGGCATCTCTGTTTACTTTTATCTTAATCATTTTAAATAAACAAGCTGTCTGGTTAAGGAAGTGAGAAGACCGAAATGGTGAGAAACAGACCACCAACAGAAGCTTAGAAATGTCCTCCACACATCTCTGTCTCCCTCTATAAAACATTTTCTGAGGAGGAGCCAGGAGCAATGTACAATGACCAAGTGCATATGTTTAACTCTGACATGAATTCCCAGTAGAATTTGGTCCTAGATATGAGGAAAATTGGTGACTTTTTTTTTTTGTATTTTAGTACAGGGTCTACAGGGTCTCACTACGTAGATCGGACTCACAGTGATTTTCCAGTTTTCAGCCTCCCAAGAGCTGGGATTACAGGTGCGCACCACCACGCCCGGTCTTAGTTGTCATCTCAGTGCGCCCTGTGGGCAGGGCCAGCAGGGCACACTGGTGATGGAACCCCAGCCGCTGTGTCTGTCTAAGCAGGTGCTTTAATCCACTGAGCTATTTGGCCAGCCCTAAAATTGGTGATTCTGACCACTATTTTTTTTGCTGGTTTGAGGCTCAAGTTAACTGAGTATGTCGGTTAAAGAGCCACAGCCCAGGGAAATGGCCTTCGACCGCCTGGACTGAAGGTCCCCTGTCCAGGCTGGTTTGACAGCTAGCTGCCTACAAAATACTTAAACCTTTCTGATTTGCTAAGTAATGAAGGTACAACCGTGACCTGATCTACTTCATCATGGACTACCAGCCACACATGACTTCTCTGTGACACTCCTTGTTGAATATCGGCCATTTAACTCTGGGAGGCTCAGGGACCTAGACTTAGGGAATACTGCATAGTTACATGTTTGTCTAGATGAATTTTACTGGCCCAGGATGTGGCCCCGTTTACAAGTTACATATGCCAATGAAGAAAACTTAGGCTCCATGAATCAGAGAACTTTAGAGCTCAGAGATCATCTAACCCACCTTTCTCTTACTACAGAGGGAGAAACTGAGGCTTCAAGATCAAAGAAAGTGGCCTATGATTGTGGAGCTAACTAGTAAGATAGGTGTGTTTCAAACCGGAAAGTAGTAGATCTCAATATATTACACCATAATATTCAACTTCATTTTTTTAGGAGGTAGAGGGGGAAAAGAAAATCTTTTTTTTTTGGTATTTTTAGTATAGGGTCTACAGGATCTCACTACAGATAGGAATTATAGTGATCCTCATGTTCTCAGCCTCCCAAGCACTGGGATTACAGGCACCTGCTACTACATCCAGTCTCAGTCTATCTCAGGGTGCCCTGGGGGCGGGGCCGGCACGGCACACCAGGGACTGAACCCTTGTCCTTGTGCCAGCCTAAGCAAGCGTTTTTGTCTGCTGAGCTATCTGGCTGGCCCTAAGAAAGAAAATCTTTTAACTGTGGAAACATACCATTTTATTATTTATCACATCTGGCCCAGAGTTCTAAGTGCCAGTAAAATATTTTCCTACCCTTCTCTTTTGATTCCCTAGAGAAAGCAGCTGTGAAACACACCTGTCTTATTTTTAAAGACTGCACTGTACACCTTGCAGAAACTCTGCAAAGTGGGAAGCCACAATATTATTAGAATCTTACTGCATAAATACAGAAGTTAGTCATCTGCCCAAAGTCTGTGCAGTCAGTACTGAAAAACATAATGGAATAGAAGCAGATGCTTATACAGGCATACTAAAAAGAAATCTAGGTTGTTGATACAACTTAATGGTGAACACAGTAGCTGACTATCTGAATAATGGCATCATGGGATGTTACATGCTATGGTCTCTATTTAGCACGTGGGCATGTGCTAGTACATATGCCGTATGAATCAGCGTATGAGGTTTGGAGTTACACTAACGTCCCACTATACCGTTTTCATGGTTTGAGACCATGCGCCAAGGAGGCTGAGCTGTACTGAAGGCCTCCTAGTACTGCCAGAGGTGGGAGTGAGCGTGCGCACTTGCTGGAGAGGAGATGCCGCTCGAGGAGTCTTGCATTAGTGCATGTTACAGTGTGATCACACACACACACACACACACACACACACTGCAACATTAACACAGTAAGGATTTTGTTACAATTTAGAGAACAACAGGTAGCCTCATACTATTATTACCACAAACACTCTGCTACGAACTTTTCTTACATTGCCTAAGTTTATCCTCAGGAATGTTATGATTTCATTTTTACAGACCAAGAAACTAAGATTCAAAGAGATCAGGTGGTTTAGCTAAGATCACAAAGCTTGTAATATATAGACCTTGGGCTTGAACCCAAGAGTACCTGATTCTAGGGCCACTAGATTTTCTTCTTACATTACCATTATTCAGAAAATTTAGAATAAAGCTCTTCTTAGCATCTATCAGTAACTTCAGCAAATCAAGTTGCTACTATGTATCTGTTAGATATTTAAGCCTGTGTTGGGCTCTCCCCATCCCTCCACCCACCTGCCCATCCAATCACCTGTCCACCCCCCACACAGACACTAGGTGCCCGGGACATGCCAGGCCCTGTGGTAGGCATCAAGGATACACACCAGGGAGTGAAAACAAGACCGGTGCTGTCCAAGTCCAGCAAAGGAAGGCTCCTAGTGGCCAGCACCTCAGAAACCTCTTCAGAGAAAGAGACCAAGAAAGAACTTCTGCGGGCCCAGAAGAGAAGGGCTGCAAAGGGCTCCCAGGTGCACTGAGTGGGGTGTGGCAGGGTCAGGGGTCAGGGGAGTGTGCTTGTGGTACTCAGCGCTGACTGGCAAGTACTCTATCTGAACTCCAGCTTTTCATTTATAAAGTGAGAAAAATAAGGCTTTTTGCAAAATTATTTCAGAATTCTAAGATGAGATGGTAGGAAGCATGTGATACTTGTAGCTATGGGGGCTAATACTATTTTATTAATACTTTAAGAGAAAGAGGAAATGTGTCCAAACATTTGTACACCTCAATTGACAGCCTTCGTTACTCGCAGACTCAGACACTTTCTCTGTATTTACCCGGACGCAAGTGAGAAACATCACAAACCCAAGCTGAGTGTGGGTGCATACTTAAAGATCAATAAGTGTCACAGATTTGTAAGTGATAGGAAATATAAAGGTATTAAAAGAATAGATTCTTATATTAGGGCTGTGTAGAGAACTGAAAAAGACTAGGAGAAAAAGGGAAAGAGGAAGCCACAACAAAAAGCAGCTACATTCGAGGGTAAGAGAGGACGAGAAAGGCTAAAGAGGTCGGAGAAAGACGGACAGGGAGATGGAGATGAGCAGCCGGGCCTGTGCCGGTGGAGCTGGTCCTGCCGCACCCCAACTCTCCGGCCCCTCACTGCCACTCCCACCTATTTCCCCGCACATCTAAACTGCCCTTTGCTGCCCAACAGATGGCTGGCCGCAGCACGAGCTGCCCAGCGCTTTGCCCTGGAATCTCCTAGTTCATTCTGAGCTTGGCAGGCCTATGTGGAGCTCCGGGCTGCTTCCTTTCAATGGTTTGAACAAAAGCCAAACCAATCCCCTGTGCCTCTGTACCTGCTAGGCTAGGGAGGATGCCTTGCGACGGCAGTGAGCAGCAGCATCCAGAGAAGGCTGGTGTCCTGTGGGAGCGCTTGTTAGCAGAGCCCCTGAAAAGCATGCTCACTGTGTGAGTCAAAGAGAGCAATGGACACCACACACAGGAGCAGGCCAAAGGCTACAGGCAGTGACGCCCAGGGTACAGCCCATGCACAGATGGCCAGCCCGGCGCATCAGGGTCTCCTTACTGTGTGTGGAGGCCCGTCTTCATTGTCCCGCATATAGAAGGGCTTGAGTGCTAGTGGGTAGTCAGTGACAAAGACCGGGGCGTCGCCACAGTGCTTCACCAGGTACTTCTCGTGTTCGGTTTGTAGATCAAGGCCCCACTGTAAGGAGAGCAAATTCATCACACCAGGGAAGACAGTGCCACACACACAATGAGCACGCCCAGAGGAACCCCTGACTTCCAAGGGTTTCCTCTCCCTGGGGCTTGGTGATGGGCACGGTTCTCTGCCAGGTTCCCCAGCTGACCAAACCGAGGGGAGGTCGTGCAGCCAACTGGTGGACAGATGCACGTCCTGCTCCTCAGGGAGCAGCACTCAGCTGCTGACGCGTAGCTCACAGGAAGACAAAGCGTACTTTCCAAAGGGATACAGTTCACTTCAGAACGCCCAGTTTTTATTAATATTGCCCGGAGCTTCTCCCACAGTAACTGATCCTAAATCTCAGGAAATTAAGTGAGGGAAGATAATATTCCTAATATTGAGTCTGTCTTTGGCTTCTCTTGGTGAATTGTTCAATAGTAACTCAACTCACGCACGACATGCTCTAGTGAGTATGCATGTATCTACTCATTTATTTTGTGGCATTGGGATGGGATACAAGGCGTTTGCACTGAACTATGTCCCCAGCCCTTTTTACTGATTTTTAAATTTTGAGACCAAAGAATCTCAAGTTTGAGCCTCACCCGGGCAATTGAGCTACTTGGTAATTACTCTAGAAATCAACGAGTTCAATGCAACCTTCTGAGTGACACTGAGAGGTGACAGACAAAAGAGGTTATATGATTAAATCAGTATGATCTCTGTTCTCAGGCCTGGCTCCTGTGTGGGTCGTTGTGAACGCCGGCGTCCTTGGCTATAGCTTGGTCACAGAGGTACCAAGCCTGCACCACAGGAGCACACCAGCAGCACTGAGTGACAGCAGGGGAGGTTGCCGTAGCAGGAGAAGAGGATGGAAGCAGAAATGAGGAGACCAGCATCCAACAGGAGGCCTGTCTGGATCTACTCTCTTGCCAATGCAATAAAGGAGTAAAGGAGTTCTCACACAGGATCAGCAGAAGGGGCGTCAGGAGCTGGGACTGGGGCAACAAGGTGTTGAGCAAAGGGCTCAGACTTTTGGTTTTAAGATGAACGCTTCTGGGGCTCTACTATGTCGCATGGGTGGTGACAGACATGTCCACTACTTGGCTTGTGACCCTCACTACAGTGTAGACAGACATCAGATTATCATGCCATCCACCTTGAATATAATCTTTATTAGCAAGTATTTAAAAATACAATTCTTCAAAAAGGGCCATATTGAGTGGCTCAAAATTAAAGCCTCTATAAAATGTAACAGAAAAAAACACATTGCCTAAGCTTCTTTAATCATATAGCACTTTTGTCTGTCAATTTTTATTATTTATTTAATGTATTTGGTAGAGGGTCTTGCTACATAGCTTGGACTTGTCGTGATCTTCCTGTTTTCAGCCTCCCCAGCGCTGAGATTACAGATATTTGCCACCACGCCCAGTCTCATGGCCATCTGTGTTGGGGGGGCGGGGCCGGTGGGGCATGTGAGTCTGTCACCTTTTAATAACACTCAGAATAAACTTTGGGAGACAGTAAAGTAGTTGATTCCTGAAATAATATTCTATGATTATCACCCTCTTTTATCATTTTCATATCCTAAACTCAAGGGACTCATTTATAGCCTTTTAGTCACTGCTATTTCAAGTGACACAATCCCATTTCAAAATTATTTTTCATCCTAAGTAGTTCAACAAGATCCAGCAAACATCAAAGGCCATGTAGAGATGAGAAAATACCACACACATCTAACAAGAGGAGTAAGATTATTTTGAAGGATTTTTAATAAAGTTAGATCAGAAGACAGGACAAGAGGGAAACATTTCACACACACAACAAAGGCAGCACACTACCTCTGGGGTGAAGGTGAAGTTGTGGGATGCTTTCTTGAGGATCTCTATGGCTTCCGTGTAAGAAATGCTGCAGGAAGACAAGGGAAAAGCAGAGAAAGGTTTAACACAAGGGGTCAGCCTTTCACTGGGTCATCTTAAGACTACAGAGAGCTCATCCCACGTGGCCTGCAAGGTCCTAAGTGAGCACTGAGCACTGAGGAATCAAAGCGATCTAAGCCTATGGAGGGCTGACGTGCATGAAGAGGTGGCAGTTCAATAACGCACACCTGACGGACCTATAAAGCACACAAAGGAGCTAGGTCACGTTAGCAAATGTACATTTCCTCTGAATCCCTGTTATACCAATGCTGTGTAAAAAAGGCGTAAAATACTAAGGGTAAAAGAGCAACAGCATTTCCTAGGCGTGTCACTCATCCAACAAACATCCATACTGACTAGACGCTGCACACTATGCATCAGAGGCCGGGCAAGCCCAGGCGTGGGGGCCTGAGCGTAGGTGCCAACAACTGAGGAGGCTGACGGGACTCCCTTCAGCGCAGACCAGCGTGGGCAGCAGAGCCGGACCTCATCCCAGAAAACGAATGACTCTGCATGTTTCTATTTAATGCTATTACAAGGAATTTTCAGACACTAATTTTGTCCCTTCCTTCCTTCTCTGTCCCACAGCCACCATGTTCCTTTCCTCTCATAATTCACTCTTATTGGTTGCCTGTGTATCCTTCCAGAGGAAAAAAAAATACATACAACATGTATAATACTAATAATCTCTTTGTAGTGAATGTCAATAACAGCACATATGTGGCATAATACTCTTATACCTTATTTTACTCAACAATATACCTTGCGGACCTATCAGCCTGCAAAAATTTTTTTTTTTTGAATTTCATAATACTCCATTTTGTGGATGTAACATACATACTTAGTTTACCCAGCTATTTATTGATAGGTATTTCAGATGCTTCTAGTGTAATTTTAAAATTATTGTTATAGGCCAGGTATGGTGGCACATGCCTGTAAACCCAGCCCTTGGGAGGCTGAGGCAGAAAGACTACCATGAGTTTGAGGCCAGCCTGGGCTTCATAATGAGTTCAAGGCCAGCCTGAACTACATAGCAAAACTCTACGTCAAAAAGGTAAATAATTAAATTACTACTCCTACTATCACTTAGCAACTTAAGGAGACTGTGTTCAAGAAGTAAAATAATAAAAAAAAATTTTTTTTTTAAGGGTTGGGGACATAGCTTAGTGAAAAAGTCTGTGTTCAGTTCAGTATGGTTTGTGGTGGGGTTTTTTTTTTAATTTTTTTTTTTTTTCAAAGTATTTGGTACATGGTCTCACTATACAGCTTGGACTTGCAGTGATCCTCCTGTCTCAGCCTCCCCAGTGCTTGGATTACAGGTGTGCACCACCACACCGGGTCTCAGTGGCTGGCTCAGCATGCATGGGGGATCAAATCCAGGTCCTTGCACTTGCCTAGGCAGGTGCTTACACCACTGAGCTATCTCCATGGCCCAGCTTGTGATTTGTTTTGAAGAGGTGGTAGTTCTGTCTCTATTTCTGCTTTGTAAATATTAAATTAAATTACTATACAGGTCCCTTAATATATTTCCATATGAAACTATTTTAGCATGTATTGAACGATACACTGATATCTGTATTCAAAAGGACACAGGTCACGTGGTATTTTTCTACATACATGAAATTGCTACACACACTAATAATTACTAGAGTCTACACAAAGGACAACACTTTATTTTGCCATCTCTGCTTTTTATTTGTTTTCCTTACTTTTTAAAAGGACTACTCCTAGGTGGACTCAGGTATGCCTGTGTTTTCAGGAATTCCGGCCAGTGCCTCCAAGAGTCCGAGGCAGCTGAAGGATGATGGGAAGTCTGTGGTGCGCACCACCACGCCAGCTCCCACCTCTCTTACTTGGATGACATCAATTCGATCACCCCTGTGAACACATTGCCACTGTCCTATTATGTTTTTCGTGCCCACTCTGAATGTTTTTAACATGCATCCTGACTTGACCAGTCTAAAGTGAGTCCGTGTCTCTCTCTTCCTGTCAAACAACACAAGGATTACACACTTCAGCCACAAAGCACCTGTCCAGTTTTACGTGACCACTGCCTACTATTTCAGGTCTGAGGTGACAGGTTCCCCCCAACAATGTGCATGTATTATCATTACAGCGATGTGAGCCTCCTGGGAATCTAATCATGCCTGCCACCTGCTAGAACTGCTGCAACCAGCCTTCTTCTTTGTAGTAGTATTTAAGTAATCTTGTGATTAAAAGTTCACGAAAGGGTTTCTTAGGTTACATGCAAATATAGTACATTGTTTTATGTAAAGAACTTTAGCAGCCACAGATTTTAGTACCTACTGGGGGAGGGGTTCCTGGAACCATTCCTTGGGGGATATGGAGGTGTAACAGTATAAGTTTGAATTGCAGTAACATAGTTCATAAATTATACTAAATATGCTATATGCTAAGTTCATTTATTCTGCTGTGATTTAGCAATTAATTTAGTGATGATACAGGAAATCAATTATGAGCCAGATATAAGAATTATAATCAGGACATAGGTTTTGTTCAAATCTGGAGATATGCTAAGCAGATTTACAAACAAAAAATTATAATTCAATGTAATAAAAACAATGATAAAATGAGTAAAGTTCAGAAGAAATAAAGTATCTACTTACATTGAAAAGTTCGTTTTTAGCATATGTTCTAATCTGTCCTTGGTAAGAAAAGACAAGAAAAAATTTACAATGTAGTCACAGTCATTGCATGAAATTAACATAAAAAGAGCAGTTATAATGGATTTATCCACAAAACTAATTACCTTGTGGCCAGGAGCTATGAATTTGTGACAGAGCTCAACATCTTCGGGACAATTTGAGAGAACAGTCATTGTGGTAGCCTTGAAGAGATCCTCTATAACCTACGGGCAATGGCACAGGACAGCCTTAGAGGTCAGTGACTTTATACAAAGATCCTGCAGGGGTGGGGGGCTCCAAGGCCTGCCCTCCAGGTTTCAGCAACCATAAAACCACTAAGCTTCTAATTCTTGAATGTACTTCAGCAAATTAGTCCAGTTTCCCAGGAAGCTAAATTCTTTTCAAGAGGGAGGAAAAAAAAAAAAAGTTTGACTCTTACACTAATAGCTTCAATACTGGTGAAGTGAGATGTTAAACGAATAGCTATACTGATGTTCTCCTAAACATCAGTAAACTAATCTGTACAATCAGGACAATGACCGTACGTAGCTTACAGGACTTTGTGAGAATTAAATGAGATAATCCACTTATCAGACTTATTAACATAGTACCTGGCTCACAGAAGTATGCAAGTATTAGCTGTTGTGAATAGGAACATTTTCAAAAGTGGCTCATTTAGTCACAGATAAATAAAAGTAAAAGTTTAAGTTTGAGAGGCAATGCCATTATAGTCAGCTAAGTTATATTCCTGTAGGCAGGTGGACAGGGCTAGGCCCTTGGAAGAGGTCAGTGCAGAAGCCAATGGTGGCTGGAGAAGCATTTGTAGAAGGTCTGGCCCCAAGACAGAAAAGACTGCATCAGGAGGACCAAAACCTCTCCAGCCCATTCCCTCCTGGGAAGCCCCTGCTTGTTCCATCCCACATTAAGCAACTTTACTTGTCATCTTATTGGCTGCCTGCAGCTTTGTCCCACCCTGCAGTCACCTTCTGGGTTTCCACTGATAAGTCCACCAAGTGGCTGTACTTATGACCAGTTAACATGGCTTTCCTGCCCTAACCTGCCGCCCCTTGTGCTCTTGCTCTTTGTTCCTCGGCAACCCACTCCAGACCCCCTTCTGTCCCTCTCAGAAGCTTTCTTTCTCTCACCGAAAAGTTCCAGCTCTAGTCTCCGTTGTCCCTAGAATCCATTCTCCGATGTTGGAGAACACCCGAGTGCTGAATCAGACATCTAGCAGGTAGGGTTACCCTTCTACTAGCTGGACTACTTGGAGGCACTACCTCATCCCTACGCCACATGCCCAACAGCAGTGAGACGTAGCTAAATACAAATGCATGCTATTTTTTTCTAAAGAACAAGTAAAATAATACACATTAGCATATCACAAATCAGCACATAAGAATTCATTCTATAAGATGCGTTCATAGGCATTCATGGCAGATGAATGTTCTTAGAAAAAAAACTGTATCTGGACTGGAAAATGTTTCTACAATCTTATTTTAAATCAAAATTAAAACTTGGGAGGACTTAGGCCATAGGTCAGTGACAGAGTGCATGCTTTAGTATCAATGAGGTCCTGAGTTCAATCCCCAGCATTGAAAAAAACAAAAAAGGAAAAGCTAGAACTTCTGGTTGTAAGTCAATGAGCTCTCTTTAGGCGCTGCAGAGGTTACGTTCATAAACACACTGTAAAGCAGGCTGCTTCAGAGGAAGGCAATCTTTTCCTTTGCTGCATCTCTGGTATATCCTATCCCAGGCTAGAAACACCTACTGTTTACTGACGTAACTTAGTAGGATCAGATAGAGGAAAATAACCCAGTTCCAAGTGATAATCACAGATAGTTTACGAGGCATCAGCCTTTGTTAGTGCCACTTACCACAGATGTACTGTGAGCTATACTATAGTCCTGGTTTAGTCTTTCTGTTAACACAGTCATACATCTTTCCAGTCAGTATGTGTTTAATACTGAAAGAAATTTGTGCGTGCATGGGTTTCTACAGTCCTGGCGATGTAACACTAATGACAACTAATTTGAGGAATGGAAAAAACAAGCTAGAATCCAAAGACTAGACAAGAGTAAGGCTAGGATGGAAGGAATAAGTAGAATTAAAGTAGAACTTTCTAAGGGCCTTGTACTCTGAGCAGAGCCGTCTGAATGTAGACTTACAGTAAAAAAGTAAAGCAAACCACTAAAGTTACAGAACTAGAATAATATATTCTAAAACAGTGGAAGAAAAGAAGAAAACCAGACAAATCACGTGGAAGGGGAAGCAAGAGAGAGGAACACAGTGGTGGCAGAGGGCCAGCTGGAGCCTGAAGAGCTGTCACCCTGAGCCTGCATCAACTTCCAGGCCAGCAGCGAGATAAGAAGTTACTAAATAACAACGATTTATGATCCCGGGAAAGCAAAAGAGCGAGGAGATTGTGTGTTGGGGGGAGACAGGGTGGCGGGGACACGGTGGTATCAGTACTGTTAAGAGGCACAACACACCTATCTATAACATAAGACTTTGGCCATGCTAGGGCTGTTAAACTGTCGGTCTTTCTTAAGCAGTAAACTTCCACTTAAAGATGAAAACCACTGACTTCCTTAACCTTGACTTTCAGACCATGCTGTAAAAATATATCTGAAGAAAACACAAACTGAAGGGCTAGCCCAACTCTACAATGTTTTATGAAAAGAAAAAAACAGGTATTCCCGAGGAGCACACTTTTTTTCTTCTGTCTTTAGGAAAAACATTTCTATTTCAAGTCTCTAAATCATCCACAGGGCACTCCGTGAGTACCACGGTTCTGTGTGGTAGAACAAGTAGCAAATCCCTGACACTGCAACTTGGGTACTCTTTTTTATTTAACTTCACTTTCTAGTTACTGTTAAATTCATGAAGGTCAGCATTAAGATTCGCAAAATTACTCAGAGGCCTTTCTGTATAACTATGTAATGAACTTTCTAAGTTGGGATAATTCTGAGATAAACACAGACATTTTTTATTATTTGTAGTTAAGACATAAAAACAAATGTCCAGGGATATAGCTCAGTGGTGTGCCTTCCTAGCAAGCACAAGGCCCTGAGTTCAAGCCCCAGTACCATAAAAAAAAAAAAAAAAAAGAAGAATAAAAAAATGAACATGGCAATTGCCATGGCTTGGGGTTTTTGCAAGTGAACAATATAAGATACATTTTATAAGAATAATTTATAACCACCAAAAGACTCATATACAAAGGTCTTAGGAAACCTTCCACACACTAATGAGTAAATAATCCAGCTGACAGCCTGGATCCTAATATTCTACATGAGTCCAGCTGAAGACCTAGAGCTCATAACAATGCCTCCAAAAGTTCAACTGGAGGCCTGGAGCCCATGCATGAGCGAATGCAGGCCCACTTCACGGATCTGTGCTGGGAAGGCCCAAGAATCAGTGGTGGAAACTACAAAGTCTGTGCCAGCAGGCTGAGGAATCTGCACTGGAGCCAGGAAGCGATGCCCAAGGTAAGGACCAGAGCTCCCCCAAAGAGAACCGCAGCCATCCTCACTGATAGTGAGGTCCTGAGCTCCTCATCCAAGAACAGCCAAGTTCACCAGGAAAGCCAGCATGAAAAGGTCCTCCAGCAGAATCGCCCAAGAGAACCAGCAGTTTCCAACAGCTCCAACAGTTTCTTCAAACAGCATCCCTAACAGCCTCCACAGCTTCTCCTGTTCTGCCTTTATGCTGCCGGCAACAACCCTCAGGTGGGCCTCTGGCACTCTGCACCATGCTCATTCACTTCACCTGAGTGTGACAAGTTGCCCACCAGTTGGCAATCCACTACAGTAATGTTCATGATAATATTTCAATATAGGTACACATTGTGCAATGTTGGTATTACAGTAAGTATCTATTTCCTCAGTCATTTGTCATTTCCTAACGGTGAAAACTCTTAGTATCCTCTCTTCTAATAATTTTTTGGATATATGTGCATAAATGTTACCTGTATTCACCTTGTCATGCAACACCATCTCAGAGTTTCTTACTCCTGTCTGTGACTTAGTATCTTTTGGGCAACTCCTCCCCATCCCTACCAGCCGCTGTTCTCAGCCAAACCTCTGGTAACCATCACTACACACAACCAACTTTTCTGAGATCAATTTTATACTACACATATGTGACGGACAACAGGCAATATTTGTCTTTCTGTGTCTGGCTTAACATAGCGACCCACTTCTACTTGTAAATTACTAGTATTTTTAAAACAAATTTCATAACAGAATAAAGAGGATAACAATAGTTAATATACATGTGTCATTATCGTCAAAGTAGTTACTGAATACAAGGCATAGTTTCTCTCATAAAGAACAGATAACAGCACAAAGCTTTCTTCTCAGTGAATTAAAACAAGCTAGTAATATAAATGAAACAAATTAGCATATATATTATTTTTGAAACAGAATAGGACTTGAAGTTCTACTTATTTATCTAATTTTATTTCATTAGTTATTTGTATACATATGTGTATGAGTTTTTCAGAAGAGTATTTAATGATGACATGCTACGCCATGGCACAGATCACGACGTGTCACCTCTTCTGTATACATTCACCACTTCGGACGCTGCAGTCGTTCCTTACCCTGGCGACTGTGAGTACTAGCATGGAAGTGCAGGTGTCCCCCTGACATGCTGACTTCATTTCCTTTGGATACACACTCAGTAAGGAGTGAACTACTGGATCACACTGAAGTCCTGTTTTTGATTTTCTGAGGAACTTCCATAAGTTTCCATAATGCTAAACTAACTTACATCTCGCCCAAGAGCGTGCAAGGACACTTTCTCCACGTGCTGGCAGCATTTGTTACCTGCAGCCATTGTGATACTGTTCTTACTGGGTGAGATGCCGGCTTACTGTGATACTAATTTGTATTTCCCTGATCATTATTTTCATGTACCTGATACCCATTCCTATATCTTAAAAATCTTCTTGGGTTCACTGTCCAGTATTATGTCTGCTGTTATTTTCTGGGTTTGCTAAGTTTTTGAAGTTCCTTCTATATTTGAAATATTAGCCTGCTGTTAAATGTATATAACTTGGAAACATTTTCTTCTATTCTGTGGGTTTTCTCTTCAGTCTGATGACTGTCTCCTTTACTGTGCTGAAGCTTCTCCACGGCTAAAATAGCGCCCATCTATTTTTACTTTTGTCTTCTGTGCTTTTTTTGTCCAAAACGTACTTGCACATCCAGCTGTCCAGAAG